ACCCAGCTGAAAGAAATACACGAACCCACTTTACCAGGTGCGTAGTCTGGCCACGTCGACGAGTATACCATACTACTGGCAAATTCATGGCCTGACTACTATGGCCATAAGCAACTCGCACGACCCCTTCAACACCAACACAGATAGCTTGCTTGTATGACACTTGCAGGAAGTATGACGCACTTAAACTTGTGGACCCATATTGAATCATTGCAGCACAGTTTCATCCACACATACAGCCAAGTGCACACACACACAAGCACACACACACTTCTATTGCGAGCTGATGGCCAGCAGTATACAGCTCACAAGCAACCAAGCAGGTGCATATCATGAATGGATGAACACATAGGTTTACCCGTATCAATATCACCTTAGGGTGTGAGCATGGGCACACCAATATGATGCACGGGTTAAATCTGGTTGGGACTGTTGAACTGAGTCCTACCAGCCAAGCACCATAAAGACTTCTGATTCCGTTTCTATTCAGTGTCACCTACAAGTAGTAAAACTGGTAACTGCCTGCAGTGCACACCTTACGTAAGCAGAGTTCTGTGGGCAACTGAAATCCCAAAGTGCAAGCATAGCTCTTCTACCTGAGCCATTAGTTGCTACCTGATTCCACTTGGCGTACTGGAGTGGAAGTAAAAGCAATCTACTTGGAATTCGCGTTCGGATTTGATGGTGTTTGATCCACACAACAAACAACCTACAATTTCCACGTGGATTATCGTACGGAGATGCATTGCCATCCACTATTCCTGCAAAATGAGTGGCATTGCGTGCATTTAGATCATCACAAAAAAGACTACGATTTAGTGGATACTGAATGTGTTAGTTAACGTGCGATTAAACGACCCACAGTAGCTGTTCACTTAGTCTAACAACCCGCTGTCAAGGATGTGGGATAGTCAGATCATTTATACAAGGTTTTTACTGATCACTGATTACTGGTTGGAAGCAGCAAGTAGAGTTTGCTCCGTGTAGCTGCATTTAATGTCACTCAGGGACAAAGAACCGTTACGTTGTGTTGCGCTCAACGTACTTTGTGGAGGTCAAGTGTTTGTCCATGAACTTCTTAAATTCCGACACCGACTTCGCCTCAACTACGTGCTGCGGAAGGTAGTTCCATACATTCACCACTCTGCGTTCGAAACAGAGTTGATGAGTGACCCGCTTCAAATCCGGTACGACAAGCTTGTACCGGTGTCCTCGAGTGCAGCTTGGTGTGCGCTGATGAAGCAGTTGTCTCAAGATGGGGTAATCTCCCAGGTGTAATATCCGGTGCGTCATGATGAGGTCAATCCGCATTCGACGATAAGCTAGGGTGTACAGCCCTAGTTTCTTACACCGGTCTTTTTACGGCACACCTCATAAGTTGGGAGTCAGACTGATGGCTACATGTTGCACTCACTCAACTTTTTCCACTTTGCTCCGGGTGATAGGACAATACGCGGGACAGCCATACTCTAACATTGGTCGTATTATTGATACGAAGCGGCGAGTGGCAATCTCTTCGGACCAAGTGCTGAAGCTGCGTTTGAGCGCCAAAGCATATGAAGGCTGTTTTGGTAAAGCCTATTCGTGTTGTTCATGGACTTTAGGTTGTAGCGTGAGAGCAAATCAAGGTCGCGCACGAAAGGCGCGGAATGCAACGGTTGACCAGCCACTGTGTAGGTTCGACTGTACTCACACTTACCCATCCTCATGAATTACGACTTGACCGGGTTGATCGGCAGGTTGACCACTGCAAACTACGTGGAGAGGCGGTCAAGGTCCTGCTGAAGCAGGTCACAATCATTGAGTGTGTGGATTATTGTCGACACCTTCAAGTCATCTGCGAACAACGTACAAGGTGGCTGGAGTAGCTGAGGCACATCGGTTACATGGATCAGAAGCAAAATCGGCCCCAGTACAGTGCCTTGGGGCACGTCTCTGCTCGATGTATACCAGTCGGTTAAATGGTTGTCCACCTGGACCCTCCACTTTCGATCAACAAGGAAATTCCTGATCCATTGGTGCAGCGAGCCACCAACCCCGCAGACCCTCAGCCTGTCGAGGAGCACTGCATGATTTACTTTGTCAAAAGCCTTACTGAGGTCAATGTAAACGACGTCGACTGATTTGCCTTGTTTCAGCGCTTGTAACCATTCGTGCCTCGTCAACAGTAGGTTGGTGATGCACGAGCGACCTTTCACGAAACCATGCTGTGCAGGTGTCAAGAGGCTTTTCGACTCGAGAAGCTGCAGAAGACTCTTCTTCACGATCTTCTCGAGCGTCTTTGCCAAAACAGCAGTCAGGCAGATCGGCCGGTAGTTATCCACTTTGCTTGGGTTACCACCTTTCGGTATTGGTTATACGACTGAGCATTTCCAGTCACCCGGTAATATTACAGTGCATATTGACCTGTTGAACAGCTAAGTTACAGAAGGCGAGATGATGGCCGATAGGAACTTGAGAACCAGTGGGTGGATTCCATTTGGCCCAGCAGGGTTCTTCCCGTCAAGACTTGCTAGAAGCTTGCGCACATCTTCCTGGCTGCAGTTTAGGCTGTCTAGTTCAGCGAGAGCGGTACTCGTCGAACTTGTTACAGACACCTGGTCATGGAGGCGAAATGTGCCATCAATGCGCATGCACGATCTGGGCTCGAGGTTAAGGGCTGTCTACCTGAGCATTCCAACACGGGAACATTGCCGGCAGAGCTCAGGCGCCGCTTCACGTAGTCGAAGATCCATCTGGGAGCAGTTTTTACGGCGGTCGCAAGCTGCTATTCTAGGCTTCAGCGTATTTTGTTTTCGCTTTGTTGAAGGGAGTTCGCTGTACCTTGTACGCCTTGTAATCCCCACCAGAAACAGATAACAAGAAGTTGTTTCATAATCTGCGTCGTCGTCAGGCCAGTTTGCTGTACTCCTTGTCGAACCAATGTGGTTAGACAGACCCAACTTTCCGATACTTTAGGAGTACAAATCGGGCGCTCAACCATTTCAATCCCTTTTTACTGATAGTCCAAGAGGTTTCAATAGACGAATCTTCTGGTAAAGACCAGTCCATCTGGCTCGCTGCTTGAGTGGGGCCATTAAAGTCCGTCTTCCAATAGTTGAAGGCTGACTCCAGCGGGGGAAAATACGGCAGCGGCAGTTCCAAGCTGGCCATGATCATCGAGTGGTCACTCGATCCCAGAGGCTTTAAGACTTGAATGTCATGCACATGCTGCTCACAGCTGGTCAAAAACAGGTCTAAGCCCGATGGAGTCACACGCGCAGTTATGCGCGCAGTAACACTTTCAAATATTAACTACGTAAACTTCCTCTCTACTTCACAGTGACCGAGAAGAAGTTCAGCTTCAGGCCACTGTATTCGGGGCAAGTTGAAATCGCCCATGAGTAGGAACATCTGACGACTCATGTGGTTGCGGACATGCGGCAACCAGTCCAAACAGCGGCTCAGTGGATTGCGATATACCACACCCGCGAGCAACTCGCAGCGTCTGAGGTGAATCAAACACCATAACTGCTCACATAGACCATCAGCGCTTTGGTAGGCGTTCACTAGTCTCCCACACAAAGAAGACTTTATGTAAAGTGGAAAACCACCGCGCTCATTTGTTGGTCTATCACAGTGGAAGCATGAATAGCCGCTGATTTCCACTTCTTGGGCGGTTACGTTGGAGGTTAACTATGTCTCAGCAAGGCCTAATACGTCCGATCGCTGAGAGGTTACAAAGTGGCGCAGCTCATCGCGCTTGCTCATCAGACTGCATACGTTAGTAAAGGCTACGCACAGGGCGCGGTAGGAACCGCTGGGGGCGCCTGAAACATCAGAAAACTGCTGATCCGGATTCGCGGAGGAACCCAGGTAACTACCCGAAAATTTACAATACAGAGATTTGTTTCTCCATCGTCCGTGCGTTGCTTTAGTTTACTCATCGCAGACCTGAGTTTCTCTCTGTCTGTTGGGTCTAAGTCAGCGTGCACCTGGATCTTTAGACCTTTCAGCCTATTAAGGCGGGATAGTATTAAGTTAGGACTTGCCTTTTTGACAGAAGTCACGCTCATAGGTTGACTTTTACCCTCGATGCTCTTTACTAGACGAGCGATCTGTTTCACTTTGAGCCCGTCCTCATCCAAATCGAGCAGTCTATCAATCAGAATTTGCAAAATGACATCATGTTCATAGCGCACCTGAGGATTGGAATCACATGATTCAGGTGCGTGAAAGACTGAGGCTGCGGTGCCTCAGGTCGCTGGACATTGTTCGTGGTTACTTTGGTATTAGCATTTTCCATGCAAACTTATTCCAAATATAGTCAACATATTTGGTCCGAAAGTACAGAAGCTAGGACATGCAAATCACCAGGCCTGTTTGATAAGGGGCTACCTAGTCTTTCACATAAAGGGGAGTAGCTTTTAGCACAACAACAGCAACGACAAACACAACAACAACATCAACAACCGCAGCAACAGCAACAACAACAACAACAACAAGAGCAACTGGCAATGGTTGCTTACAGGGGAGGTAACGCATTGTCCATGTACACATATGCGCTTGTCACAGCTGTCCAAAGGCTTCAGGCAATTGTCGTAAGGCAGTGTGATGTCCCGCACATAGGCGGGGCTACAGACACACGTGTAACTGGTGGTGTTGGCCACAGAGAAGCACAGATTACCAGCATCCAGCGTAGTCCCACACGCGTCGTAACCTGATGGTACAATGGGGCCGACATTGAGACCCCTTGCGTCAGGGGCCTTACCGAGAACGCAAGCGTCATATTTTTGGCTGCAGTCGAAGCCCATAAAGCCGTCCTTACAGCGACAAATCGCGGTGGCTGTTAATGACAAGAAGCATTGAAGAACCGTGTGTTTACCGAAGCGAGAAAGGGGTAACAAGTGATACTCACTAAGTCCTCTCCTATTATTAGAGAAAATGCTAATCCAGCTAATTATTTATTACAACGGGCATATATTTCTTTATGTGGGGAGAAGCACCGGGCACTTACCTGATGTTCTGTTGACAATGCAGCTAATTGTGTTTGCTTCGTGACATATCTTTCCACAATTGTCGTCGATGGCGCACAGTTGCGTGCTGTTCTCCCACTCGAAACCCTATGACAAAGAAAACGAGTGCGTGGAATTGCTAGGTTGCTCCAGCTGTGTTTTGTTTGATGATGCTCTTGTAGCTGCAGTTTGTTATTATAGGGGTGTTTGTATGGCAAGTAAAATAGGCATATACGCAAAAGACCTTGAATACCAATGCATAGAGGCGTGTTTATTTGGGGGCTGGGGGACGGAAAAGCATTTACACTACAGCAAAATATTGAGCCCAAGACTCTCAAGTAGATGTCATTATGCGGTCTAATTGCTTCAGTCACGGCGTTGCGATGGCTCTCTTAGCTCAAAGGGCATCAAAAATCAACAAGCTACTGGTGTCGTGTGCAGACAGTGAGATAAAAATCACATATGTTGGTTGAGCATTGTTTGCTTGACAATTCATGACGCTGTATTAGTTTTCGAATAGTGTTTTGTTTACAAGGAGGGGGTATACAGGCAATAACGACCGCCAGCCGAGCTATCTCTGCCGTGCGGTCACACTAGCTACGCAGTTACAAATTTTTGGGCTTATTCTTCAGCCTCTTGCTGTTCAAAGTCGAACTTGCAATCATTCCCCTCTGATTTGTTGGCTCCACCAAACGATATTCAAACTTTTATTATCCTTAACACTTTAACATATTGACTTAATTCATTCTGTCGGAGGGTTCAGAGAAACTCAAGAGTCCAACCACTTCTTTTACACATGTCTGTTGAGTTTTTACAACGAATCACGAGAGCTTGCTCCAGACTATGTGAATAGTCTGATCTCCTGCTCATCCAACACTATGTGCAGTAACTGTATCGTGTTTTGAAGCCACCTGTTGTGCATATGTTCACCGCTGTGCCTCTGATCATACGTGCAATACACCCAGCTTGCTGTGTCCCCCGAATCACTAACAATGAACAATGAACAATGATTTATAACGGGTAAAAAAGCAGGTGCTTGACATGTCCCGTAGGGTGTATAGCGTGATAAAAAGATAGCGAAGGGATAATGGAGTCTTCAGTTCGGGCGCTTACAGATGTAACTGCACTGTCGTATAGAGGGAGTTTGAAATGAGAATGTACTCACACAAAGCAACAGGGGAGTGGTTATTGTTCACATCATAGGCGAGAAAAATAAAAAGGTAGCAAGGACAACGCTTACTCGTGTGCAACAATCTTGGGTCGACAGGATACAGTAATCCAGTTTCTGTAGTAGTAGCGTTTATCAAATTTCGTGCAAGGAGTTTGGAATGACTCATTCTCGAGTAGGGTTATGGCACTATCCCCTGTCTGTTGTGCATTAGTGCCAGCATCTGGTGGTCATGAGCTATAGCACGTAGTGTAAATGTGACAGGGTATCGTCAAGGCGTTTTTTGAAAAGGGATAGGGTGGGTGCATTAATTACATGTTCCGGGAGGGCGTTCCAAGGCTGTGCCACTCGAAGGGAGAAATAGTTTCGCCGACATTCCAGGCGGCTGTACTGCGTGACTAACTTAAACTGGTGACCTCTTAGCGAGGTGTTTTGACTGAGTATTAGAAGGGAATGGCATGGGTGGTTGGGGTCTCTCAGGATTAGGTACACCATTATGAGATCGCCCCTTAGACGCCGATAACGTCCACTGTATATTTTGAGGGTCTTCAGCCTGAGTGGGTAGGGGAGGCTGGTCAAACCTCTGACGCTTTTCGTTGCCCTACGTTGTGCAGTATCGAGCGCGGTGAGATGGTGCTTGAGCCAGGGTTGCCACGCTTGAATAGCGTATTCCGCGTGCGGCCTCACGTACGCACTAAGCATTTTTGGGAAGACTGAAGGGTCAAACTTCCCGAAGGCTCTACGAAGAAGGCCGAGGTACTGGTTCGCTTTCTTAGCTGCCTTTTCAGTCTGCCTCGAACAACCGAGGTCATCTTGAACTATCACACCGAGATCGCACTCGTGAGAAGCCCGCTGTAGAATTTGTGGTCCTAGGCGGTAGTTGTGCATACTCTTGTGCCGTATACTGAGAACTTTGCACTTGGTGACGTTGAAATGCAGCATGTTCTCGATGGACCATGTGTACGCTTTGTCCAGGTCCTCCTGTAAGAATGTGTGATCCTCCACTGCAGCTATAGTGCGCCATACCTTTAGGTCATCAGCAAATAGCAAACAGTTAGAAGATAGCACACTCGCGAGATCATTTATGAAGACCAGGAACAGGCGGGGTCCAAGTACCGAGCCCTGAGGTACGCCGCATTGAACTTCGATGGATTCTGATAGGTTGCTTCGAACCCTCACATTCAGGTGACGTTGCACGAGAAAGTCTCCTATCCAGCCCAGAACAGGATCACCGATTCCATATTTCTGGAGTTTGTGGAGGAGAATGCGATGGTCTATGCGGTCGAATGCCTTTGAGAAATCCAAGTAGGCCGCGTCGACTCCTACACCAGCGTCCACGGATTCCGTCCAGCTTGCACGAGCAATCAAGAGATTAGTTGTACAGGAGTGATTTCGGCGAAATCCATGCTGTTGCGGAACGAGAATTTTGCTGTTCTCCAGGTACCCCATCAAAGCTTCAGCTATAATGGACTCCATAACCTTGGAGATCACAGGCAGTAGTGTTATCGGGCGATAGTTTGCTGGTTCAGCACGGCTACCACTTTTGTAGATAGGCGTGATGATTCCGTGCTTCCACATCGTGGGGACGTGCATCTCGTTCAGACATCGTTGAAAGAAAATTGCTAATGGTCCTGCCAAACTCATGGCAGCAACTTTCAACGCCTTCGGTCGAATGCCGTCCGCACCCGGGGAGCTGAACTCGCGCAGAGACATCAGCCTCTTCAGTACAGCTGCGGAGGTGAACGATATGTGATTAAGCCCTGATGGCGGCGTTATCTGCTTAGGCAGGATGTATGGTGATTGCGCGCTTTGGAAGGTACGGCCAAATTGTTGTCCAAGGACGTTGGCCGCCTCTTGTGCGGTTTGGGCTAACCCGCATGCTGTGTGCAGAGCAGGAATACCGCGCTTAACACGGCGCAAATTGTTTACGTGTCTGTATAGCAGTTTGGGATTGGAGCAAAACTTTTCCACCAAACCTTGTTGGTTCTTAAGTTTATCCTCCCGGACGAGTTTGACACAGTGGTTCCTTTGTATTGTGTAGACCTCCCAGGTATGGTCGTTCGGGGAGGCTATGTAAGTTTGCCATGCCAAGTCCCTTAATGCCATGCACTTACGTGTCCTGCTCCTTACGAAAGGCTTCATCCTTTTAGGTCGGTAGAGTTTGGCTTCAGATGTCCTTGCCACGAGCTTGGTAAATATGTTGACGAATTCACCGCAGGCCACCTCAGGGGTTAATTCAGCTAAGAACGACCAGCTTGTTGCATCAATTAGGTCGGACAGGTCTTCGTAGTTGGTTACGACACGATATTCCTCGGTATGCTCTATTGGATAATCCGCGTAGCACATGTAATGAAACAATAGCGTCGCATGATCACTGCGGCCCAAAGGAGTATCTGTTATCACTCTCTCGACCATCAGTTCTTCATTGGTGAATATTCGGTCCAAAATGGATGGCCTGTCAGTTCCCCTGAATCTGGTGGGCGTAGTGACGTGGCCATAAAGAGGGTAGTCTGAAACCAGATCTTGCAACTCTGCTTTGAATTGCTCTCCTGGTGTGGCCTGGGATTCGAGGGCATGTAAGTTGAAGTCACCGGTGACTAGAATGTGACTGTACTTCCTCTTTATCACTTGCCTCAACGCAGCCATCAAATTGCAGTCCATCTCAGGAGTAGACGATGGTGGGCGGTAGACAACAACCAGTAGGCCAAGATCGTTCCCTCTTAGCCGGAAATTACACCAAATGGCGTCAGGTACGTCGGTTTCCGAATCGTTTATGCGTTCGCATTGCATGTTGTTACGAAAATAAAGGGCTACCCCACCACCTTTGCTGGTTCGATCCTTCCGGACAACGGACATGCCCGTTAGTGCAATCTCAGCATCCGTTATCTCGCAGTGCAACCACGTTTCGGTGACAGCGATGAGGTCCCAAGCTGCAGACGCGTGTCGAAGTCTTAATTCTGCTAATTTGCTGAGTAGACCTTGGGCATTTGTGTACATGCATGAGAGCTTCTCGGAGACCAAAAGTGTGTTAGAGTGGATGGATGAAGCAAATGAGTTTACGCCGACCATTAAAGGGTCGGCGACTAATCGTTTTTTGGATGGGTTGCATACTCTCGAGAAGTATTTGATATATAAGCAGGTATCAGATGCCCCGAATCCCGGTGTTTGCTCGTGCTCTGCTCTGCCCCTCCGGATAGTATGGCTACTCTTGAAACCGTCCCCGAGTCGGTTCCTGCAGTTGGCGTTTTCCCTAAGAGTTGTGCCTCTACTGAATTGTCGTTAGAAGGTGTTGGTGTTCCTGCTGCTTTCAGCCGAATTTCTGTTGGCAATCTGCAACGGAATTTAATCCAGTTCGCTAGTAGGGTTTGTGCCATTAGTTCTGACTGTAATACAAGTTTTAACAGCCTGGGACCGCACCCCTTATAGTTTGGTGATATGGGGATCCTTGTCAACGAGGTGACCACCACATTTTCGAGAGAAAGAGCCTCCCGGATGTAGTGCCATTGCTCGCGGTCATGCATCTGGGCATCGTCGGAAGAGGAGTCAGTAAGCTCAGGAACACCGTGAGCAATCACTGTTTTCTTATCTTGACTTATACTGTAACTATCTTTGTTAGCGCGATCCCCTGAACGTTCTTTCCACGGGATTTCGGGTAGTATGCGCACTCCACTTGAGTCGTTGCGGAGACGATTCGCAGACAGCAGAACGGCCTCAGTCTCGTCCGCCGAGTTTAGTGTTACCCGAAGTAACCGGGGTTCGCCGTAGTGCAACGCGTTTGGGTGGCGCGAGATTCTTCTTAATTTCGTGGGATTAGCATGGACACCGATCGACGTACAGATGGAACCCCACTGATTTCGATCGTCCGTCAACTTACCCTTAATTGTATTGGATTTGGATTCGGGGACATTTGTGCATACAATGTTTAGGGCACCATGGTTGC